TCTATCTATCTATCTATCTATCTATCTATCTATCTATCTATCTATCTATCTATCTATCTATCTATCTATCTATCTACAGAGTGTTGACTTTAGCAGGAACAAATACGTATCTGTTTGTTTATTCAAATAAAGTTTGAGATTTTTGAACCCGCATTTAACGTAAAGCGGTTCTTTGTTTGTCGTAAAGACACCGGTTACCATAACGACAGTCAAGATGGCAGCGATGGCGTCTGAAGATGAACATGCAGCGTCTGAAGTTTTGAGAGGACTCCACCGACACCTGAACTGTCTAAACGAAGACAACAAAGCGGCAAGAAAGAGAGCTCTTGAGTTGATAAAGAAAGAGACAGTGGATAAAGGACTTTCCAGCTCCGTCTTACAGGAAGTTTTCTCAGCCATCCTCAAACCTCTCCTCAAATGTCTGTCAGACCCGATGGAGAGATGCAGAGAAACCACGATTGTCACAATGACTGAGTTTATTCGATGTGTTCCCAAACCCGAGGACTCTTTGCCTTATCTTATTCCTTGTCTGGCTCAGCGTTTTGGCGAGAAGGATATCTTGGAGCCTGCGGAGGAGCTCCGACTGTTAGCCGTGGAGATGTTGACTCTGACAGTGGAGGTGTGCGGGACGCATTTAGCGCCTTATGTGAACGAAATTATCAACATTCTCCAAAGAACCATCGTCGACCCTTTCCCGGATGTTAAAAGAGAAAGCTGCAAATGCACTGTAAACTTTGCGAAGTGTGTGCCAGGTTGGTGGATGATCTTTGTTGATCTGTTACCATGGTGTAGTAGCGTGTGGGCAGGTGTATTTTCTGTACCGCGCAGCTGCAAAGCGAAAAGAAATTATTAGGTGGACCACACAAAGAATAACTACCACCTCTAAAATTGCCTGCTGATCAAATAGTACTAAAATAGTTATCAACATAAAACACATTGGTTTCTTAGTTTGACCATTTAAAAGAAATAGAATAAAGTTTTATTTCTATTTAATTAAATTTATTTTAACATTAACTTAGACATGTTAACAATACATAAAAAGAAGCAATTACAAAAAGAATAGCACACTTGGCTAAAAACAGTGTGMGGGGGGGGGGGGGSAGCACTAATTTAAAAATGAGTTCCACTAGCCCTAAAACACTAACTCAAATATTTAGGTCCCCTAATTCTAAAGCACTAATGCACTGAAAGTTTTAGCAAAAGCTAATTCTAAAGCACTAAAATAACCCAGTCAACCCATGAACATTCTTCAACAGACAACGTGAGTCACATGTTGCCATGTTGCTCTCTTAAATTGACATTTCACAACCATATTTGTGTTCATATATTGTCAATGTGTCACCTGGTGGATAAGTCACACACATGAACGAAATGTGTGACAGTTTTCACCCTCAGCTGTTAACATTAATGTTGATTATTAGCATTTATAGACCTCAGTTAGTGCTTCTTAATTTAGCCTATAAATTTAGCAAGTGCTAATCCACTAATGAATTTTTAAAATTAGCAAAAGCCCTAAAGCGCTAATCAGGAAATTAGTTCCCCTATTAGTGTTTTAGGGGAACTGTGCCCACCACTGGCTAAAAAGATGGTAGAGTTCTTTTGTGTAACATCTTGAGTCTTTCAGTCCTATGACAATGATAAGAGATTAGGCTAAATTAAATAGTCCAGGTCTAAAAGAAATCTTTGAAAGGCAGCCTGCAGAAATATTGATCAAGACCATAAGAGACTCTGGCTTCTTGGAGTCAAAACACAAAAATAAGAGTGATTTTTTTTTCTTTTGGAACAGCACTCATTTATAAAACCTGAGGAAARTGAGGACAGCATTCCTTGAATGAATGCCTATCATCTGCTGCCTTTCCTGTAAAAAGTTTTAAACTGAGATTTTTTTTTTTTGTTGAGCTATAACCATTTCGGTCAAAACTTAAAAAATAACACAATACAAGATGACTCAGCTACCACCACATCAAATTTTAGCTTAATACAAATAAAAGTAACAGAGATAACAAATAAAACATGGTCAATGGCAGCAATTGATGCTAAAGTTTTAAGCAAAAGTCTTGAAGAGTTAGCATGCAGAATATATGTTGAAAATAAAATAAATCAGAAGAAAATTAAATATTAATGATATTAACCTATTTTTCTTTTTTCATTCACTTTTTTCATCTCCAGAACATTTTCACATGCAAGCTGAGAGTCTCGTGAAACCTCTCATGCTGACCATAACTCATCTGCACTCCCGAGTACGAGTGTCAACCATTGAAGCCACTGGGGCGGTCATTAAGCATGGCAGTGGAAAAAATGTGAATGACGTACTCTTGCACTTGGCTCAACGACTCTTTGATGATTCACCACAGGTTGAGTTTATTGTTAACCTCTGCGATGTTTGATATTTGTCTTATTTTTGTAGCTGCAGAGTTTGAGTTGTCCTGAAAATCTAACTGTTTTAAGAGGAAGACTTTTACAACATAAATTAAACGAGTCGATGCTTTGTTGTGCTGTTTCTTATTTGTTTCTTTTGATTCAGGTGAGAAAAGCTGTAACTGCAGTTGTTGGGGATTGGCTTTTAAATATGAGAGACCGATACTCCTATTTCCACAAATTCATTCCGCTTCTACTGAGCAGCATCACTGATGAGATACCAGAAATAAGGTTCATGTGGTTAACTTAATTTATTACTTTTTACTCCTTTATACAGTGCAATACAATAACTATGAATATGATTTACAATCATTCATTCATTCATACATTTATTTATTTTATTTTTCATAATATACATGCTTTAATCCTAAAATGAAATGTGTACTAAGATTTTAACAATTTTTGGGACTTAGTGCATAATTAGAAATAATAAACGTTTTTATCTACCTTTCAGGCTTTTAGCTGCAGATTTTTGGAAGCAGGTTGGCACACAGTGGGAGAAGGAAAATGAGGATGACATAAAAGACAAGCTGGACTTCCTGCTTACCCCACCACTTCACTACCCTGAAGGAGGTCAGTCACTGGAAAAAAAAAATTCCAGCTTTTTTGCATTTTCTCCAATGAATTAATATTATTGTCAAAGAAAAAATACTTTTCATACGTAGATATTAATAGAAATAAGAATCTATCTTTCTGGGCCCCGGTTATGTGACTATGTTTTTTACAGCTAAATTAATGATAGGACTTCCAACTCTGCAGAGAAAAATAACTTTTCAAGTTAAAAATAATATTGACTTACAGCATTTAAACAATAAATGGTTGTCCTGCTGCACATTGGATTACGTAAAGTTACAGCTTACCATAAATTTGATGTATTTACTGCAGTGGTTCTTGGTTTAAACATACAATAAAAAACTATGCCTTCTCTGACAGCTGTGTTGTTGGGACAGGCACCAGCTTAGAAAGATAAGTGTTTGCTTGAGGGTCAGGAATGAACATGAACCTGAACATGGTCACCACAATTTTCAAAAAAAGCCAGGATAAATGTGTGTCATTCCACACTTGTTGTGCATTAAAGCTTCTCTTGAAATCTCAGAGCTACCTATGTCACATTAAGGATAAATACTGGCCTATGGACAGAAAAGAAAAGAGAAGAAAAGAAAAGGAAGATTTTTTTTTCCTTTCCCTTTTTGTTTGTCTTATTCCTACCATTGTAAATCTACCAGCCCTCCCAGTGTGAAGAGGTCACCGTCAGACAGCGAAAGACAACCAGAAATAGTCTTGTTTGGTCTTGTTGTGATTTGCTTCTCTGATTTATTCCTGTCTTTCTTTACTCCTCACTTCCTTTCTCATAGTGTTCCTGTACTAAAGGAAAAATAAAGTGTTTTGGAGGAAAAAAAAGAGGGGGAGAGAGTGGGTGTCAAAACAAAAAGTTGCTGGCTATGAGATTCATCTGACTAGTTTCTCAATATTAATATTAAAAAGTTAGAAGTAGTAAATGTTATTACCTGTAACTCAGTTATTAGACATTTGTTACTAAGCAATATTGTTCCATAATCTATTTTAAACAGTAAAGAAAATTGTRCTTGTAAGAAAACTATTGACATAACGTGATTTCAGTTGCTTCTTTAAAAAAAATTAGTAAAACAGGATATTTTTTTTTTCTCTAGTGGAACGTCCAGGACTGGGCTGCAGAGAACTGGTGGTGAGAAACCTGGGGAGGCTGGTACCAGCAATCACCCATGACATGACTGACTGGCTGGTGCCGACACGGGTCAGGACCTCGCAGCTCCTTTCTGTGCTGCTGCTGCATGCTGAGGACCACACCACTCAGCACCTGCAGCCTCTGCTGGCCGTGCTCTACCGGGCCTGCATGGACTCAGAGAGGGATGTGGTCAACAATGTGAGTCCCAGAGAGCCTCTCATCAAGTTAACAGGATGTCATGCATGCATGTTATGGTTTCTATTCATGAATCAGATGCCACCGCCACATTTCCCAACCTTTACGAAACTCCAGTAAAATGTTTAGCAAAATCTCATGACACATTTATTGGATCAGCAGTTTTATTTCCTTCAACTGTGCTCAGTTTAGTCTGGGACAATCAGGGTTTCAAAGACCTGGGATGCACCTGTTTATGTCGGTGGACTGTGTGGATCTTTGATGTGTGCTAAATTTATAAAGTGATTTCCCATCCACATCCTCATTTTACACTCACCCCTGACTCTGTTTCTTCTTTTTTTTTTCCTGCCTCTGCCCACCACCAGTGCCTGGCAGCTGCTAAACTGATAGGGACCTTTGTTCCTCCACCTGTCTTCCTCAAGCTGCTGCTTGAACATGTGACAGCACCTCACTCTTCCTCGCACCCCTGGGCGCCCCTCATGGTTCTGGCTGCGGTGCTGGGAGGGTGCCCCGAAGTACAACTGACACCACATCTCCAGCAGATTGCCAGCACTCTGGTTCAGCCTGATGTCTGCCAGGAATACCAACAGGTCAGCATAGGATAGATTTTTGACTCATTTTAAATCTGTTTAACAGATAATTATCCTGAATATGACATCTGTCTCACACACACTCACTGCAAACACTTTTTACTATTAACTTGGTGTTTCCCTTCAAGATTTGTTAATGTATATTTTGTTGTGTTTCATTGTATATTTTTTTCTCTTTGTGTATGGTAACATCTATATTTTGGCATTGACAGCTCTGTAGTCTTTTTTTTTTACCTTAATAATCATATATGTACATAATAATAATAATAATAATAGTAATAATAATAATAATAATAATAATAATAATACACTCACAGGCCACTTTATTAGGTACACCTTGCTAGTGGCGCTGACACGATGCTCAATTGGTACTAATGGGCCCAAAGTGTGCCAGGGAAATATCCCCCCCTCACCATTGCACCACCAGCCTGAACCGTTGATACAAGGCAGGATGGATCTATGCTTTCATGTTGTTGATGCCAAATTCTGACCCTACCATCCGAATGTCGCAGCAGAAATCGAGACTCATCAGACCAGGCAACATTTTTCCAATCTTCTATTGTCCAGTTTTGGTGAGCCTGTGTGAATTGTAGCCTCAGTTTCCTGTTCTTAGCTGACAGGAGTGGCACCCGGTGTGGTCTTCTGCTGCTGAAGCCCATCTGCCTCAAAGTTCAACATGTTGTGTGTTCAGAGATGCTCTTCTGCATACCTCGGTTGTAACGAGTGGTTATTTGAGCTACTGTTGTTCTATCAGCTCAAACCAGCCTGGCCATTCTCCTCTGACCTCTGGCATGAAAAAGGCATTTGTACCCACAGAGCGGCCGCTCACTGGATTTTTTTTCTGTATTGCATACATGTCAACCTCTTCAGATGTTTACCTGTATAAAGAGCCTGAAAAATCTGTAAATTTTGCAAAAAATCCATACAACTCGCACCCGCGGGGGGGTGGGGGGGGGTGTCTGTCAGCAGCAGACATGAAAGCGCATGCTGCGAAGCAGGAGGATAAAGCGGAAAAAGTTCAAAACTTATTTCTAGCGGCAGAACAGGTTGGAAGATGGCTGTTTGATGTTATTTATTGTTTTTTTTTAATCATCCTACAGGCTCTGGTGACATGTTAGATAAATTTGAAAATGAGGTTTTGAAAAAATCTGTAAGACTTGAAAAAATCCATGAGATTGCTTTATACATCCGTATACCTGCAAAATGACGTAAAATCCTTATAACTTACGGACAATCCGTACAAGTTGACATGTATGTTTTTGGACCATTCTCTGTAAAACCTAGAGATGGTTGTGGGTGAAAATCCCAGTAGATCAGCAGTTTATAAAATACTCAGACCAGCCCGTCTGGCACCAACAACCATGCCATGTTCAAAGTCACTTAAATCACCTTTCTTCCTCATTCTGATGCTCGGTTTGAACTGCAGCAGATCCTCTTGGCCATGTCTACATGTCTAAATGCATTGAGCTGCTGCCACCTGATTGGCTGATTTGACCTTTGTGTTAATGAGCAGTTGGACAGATGTACCTATTAAAGTGGTCTGTGAGTGTATGCCAGGTAGCTGACTCTTCTATAACACCATACCCAGACTTAAAGGGGTTTGCTTATGAGTAATCTTCCTAACTTTACTCTGAAAATACAAGCTTACTCATGAAAAAAAAATGTAATCAAGTGCAAAGCAGACACATCCATCCTGTTCTTTTGCTGCAATTAAATTTTKTTTTGTTGCTGTCTGACAGAAAGCTTTTCTCTGATCATTCTCTCATACTGACTCATCTAGTATACCCCTTAACCATCTCCCCCACTTAGAGTAGCCAGCAAGAATTTCCTCTGAGTTAATAATAACAATAGAAATCACCTAATTTCATGTAAAATGGCAGCTTTGACCCTGTAGAGCTAGCAKGCTAGCACAATTTTTTTATAGCTATTTGTAAGTTTTTAACACCAAACTGCAGTTCAGTCATGCCATTAAAAAAAATCCCTAAAATTTCAAAGCTTGACTGGTCAAGGCCGATCATAAATAAAAAGCAGAAACTGACCTCCTTTTTACCTCCTTCATCGCTGTCTGGGTGTCAGCCAGACAAAGAATTAACAGGACAACAGTCGCATGCCATCAGACAGATGTGGTGAGACCTCTGCTTCCTTATTTTCTTTTTCTTCATCTATCTTTTGCTCCCCTTCACTGTTTTTGAGGGAAAAGCATAAAGCATGGTCACAGAAGAGCTTGTCCTAAAACCTAAGCCTGCAACATTCTTTGACACCAGGCATTGTTCAGCTGAGAGCAGGACCTTTATCTGTAAATAACACCACTGCAGTCATGTGGACTGACGTTTAGTACACCACAATTTTTTGTGTGTAAATTTGCTGACAGCTTACTTCAGATTGTTCTAATGCAACTGAATAATTGTATTTTATTATAGTTTAGTGTAGTTGCTGACAAAATAGATTTAGAAAAGTTAACCTTGTTTTATTTTACTTTATTTTCTAATAAAAAAATAAGGCATTTTCAAGACTTAAAAAAATGTTTCGATCTAACAAGGTAGAATTATGTGCCACTTCAAACCAGAGGCAAAAAGAAAGAAGACGTGATGTTTGGCTTGGATGAAATGAATGTCTAAAGAAATTAAACATAAATAATCTTCAAAGTGACCAGAGGCAGTGGGAACTGCATGGCTCGGTTGGGAGTTGAAGTAAGGAAAGCTGATATATGACGCGTCTGCACGACATAACCTCTCGGACTCTTTCAACTCTGTTTTCTTTTCTGCGTTTCAGTTGAGAGGAAAAGGCAGCTTACCTAAATAAATGGCAGATGCTCTGCAAGAATTAGAAATATTGCTCATAAATTAAGGTCAAAACCCTGAGAGAAAATAAAAAGCAAGCCAGAGCGGATGGCAGCTGCCATCTTCTGAGGTGTATGCGGTGTCTGTGAATCACACAAGAGTTTCTTTTTAAAGAGACATTCCACTCAATCTTAAAAAATAGCCACCAAATCATARCAACCACAGCTGATGTGTTTAATGTGATGATAAAGGCAGGCATCACAGTAATGGTGAGTTGTTGGGCTGAGGTAAATTAGTAAAGATAAAAAAACTAAAATAACATTTTCAACCAGGTTTATCAGCAGTTGTCTCTTAAAATACGCAGGGATGTGTCTTTTCTTTTTTGTCTTTGAAGCAAAAATATCACTTTGTCAAAAATATCAGCTGGTTTAAAAAATAACATACCTCTAAAGAAAGCATGCTTTGTTTTGTTTTTTGATCATTAATAACAGTTGGCTAATGCTCACTTCTCCACAGGATGATATTAGGCTTTAAAAAGACAACTAAACCTGACTGCAGAGGGGATGACCTCCTCCACACTCCCAGTGTTTGTTTTACTGTTCCCATAGCAATACCATTGGCTGTATGGGGGTTGCTCCATGTTGGATTGGAATTCATCTCCCGCTACGTCTCCTTAAAAAGAAGCTGAGTGGATGTTATTATTGTACCCAGAGGTGGACAGATGCACACACAGTGCAATGAAGCCCCTACAGCTTGCACACTCCTAAAAACAAAAACAAAACGGGTGTATTTTACCTGACTCCAGGTGTCAACCCAGTCATTACGCTGCACCACATTTTTCGCTCTCTATATTTCTTACTTTGGTTCAGCCCTAATGGTTGTCTTCTGCTCAAGTATGAAACGTGTGCGCACAAACTAAAGTGCATGTCTGCTACTGTTTGTCACGTTATTTCCACCACAGCTACAGTACGTTGGTTCTCCTAGTGTCTTTATTCGCCAGCAGGTGTAGTCATAAAAGGGGGATTTCCCCATCAATGATTTGTAAACACTTGAAGAAATAAGGCACGTGTTGTGGTTGGTAGTGGGATTTTATTTTGCTCTTAGACACCATGAAAACACATGTAATTAAGAATGTATGATCAATATGTTTTTAAAAAAGGCAACAAATTATTTTGTAAGGTAGTTGTGGCTCAGTGCTACAATATTTGTCTTTCTATTGGGAGTTGGATAATTTGGTGTCTTGTCCAAAGACACTTTTGTCAAGACACTTAAAAGGATAGTTTAGTAGTTCTGTAATGAGCTTCTGTGAAAAGGTTTTGAACAATATCTTACCTGTTGTAGATTGCTCTTTAAATAGACACACTTTTACTAAGAAAATGGTGTTAATTCTGACTGAAGCTAATGGTTAGTCCAAACAGAACCAAAGCATAATAAGTCTACTATTTTAAAGGGGGGTGGGGTGGGGGGTGTTATTATTCAAAATTTACTTTTTTGAGCTTTATATTGTGTGGTAATGTCATTTCCTCATCAAAAACATGCCCATAGTGTGGCTTTGAATCATTCATGCATGTTTGAGAAATCCTTGAATCTCCCATGGTAGCTATGTGAACTGCCTAAATGCTTGCTGGTACAAAGCACCACCTATTTGTACAAAGCTCCTCCCTGGAGCTCAGTCTACAGTCATGCTCCCACCATACTGAGCACCCCTCCTCCGAAGCATTGTTGTGAAGACGTGCTGAAGTGGGAGTGTCTGAAATGGTAGGAAGTTCTTAAAAAGGCAGAGGCTAATTTCAAGGCCTTTAGTGTTTGATGCAAAGTCAAATTTATTTTTGCAATATAACGCATTTTCATAATAACTTGATTGTGGTATAGAAATAAACAATGTGCCTAGAAAATACACAATAGACCCCCTTTAACAAAAAGCCATTTTAATTTTGTTTTTCATGATGTTTTGATGTTTAAGACTGATTCTTGGCCCTGCACGGATTGACTGTTAGCTTTAAAGAACTATCTACAACAAGTATGATAATAAATCTTCATAACCTTTTCACTAAACTGCTTMCATAAAATGGTGATGGATAAACACCTATGAAGTCACTTGTGAAATGGACCTTTTGCATTTCTGTCAGCATGTGATGTTTTCTTCAAGGTCAGAATCATTTTTATCTTCCTTTCGCCTCCACTATTCCATGTTTTTGCAATACCCAGATCATCAAGCTTGTTTTCTTGGCAGAGTATTGCTTAGCTATGTGTTACAAAAGCTGTTCAAATTTGTCTTTTCAATAAWTGAGAATGTCTGTGAGACTTGCAAGCCAAAGCAAACACCTGAAGGGTGTGCTACGTCTAAGCAGCTCTTTTACACAGAATAAAACATTTTCTTTCTAACACACATACACCTTCATCTCCCCACAGTCTCCTCCCTCATGAGGCCCTAATAATGATAGGCAGTGTGAAAACAGGAAAAGGGGTCTTGATCCCAGTGATGGCATGGAAATTAGCCTGAGTTGCAGGTCTTTGTCTAAACATGACCTCACCACAACACTAGCTGACAAGTGACAGCAATCACACACGCTCATGCTTGGAGATGGAAAGAAAGTTCTCACTCTTAGCTGGCATGTTCTGTTGATTGTTTATCATTTTTATAAAATAAGAAATAAGTTATCCTCTGTGTTTTGTCTCTGCAGGAATAACTTAAACCAAAATATGAAAACTTTCAGAATAGTCATTTTTGCAGGACTCGCATCTTTATGACAATACTTTAATAAAATGTTTTCCTTTCCCCTTTCTCAGGTTATGTACTTGGAGCAGTTGTTGGCATGTGTGGATGTGCTGCTGCATCAGTGTGAGTCCGAATGTGCCTCAGTAAGCCTGCAGCTGCTGCAGGTGCTGGTCACTGTCCAGAGCCTCTCCACTGAGCCACAACTCAGCGCAAAGGTGAGGATCTCTGTAGATTCATCCAGATCAGTCATCGCCTCAATTCATAACATGTTAGCTCATTTGTTAATACTTCTCTAAACTGGCTCCTGTTCTCCTATCCTTTATCTTTTTGACTATTTTTATTAGAAAGGTAAGCAGGTTTTATGAAACGAGCTATTCAAGGAATGTAAGTATGTGTCAAAGTGAATATGACCAGCTGTATAATTACCCACTTAGCCAGGGGAGCTGAAATTGCACCTTTGAAGGGGGACTTTAAAACCAGTCTTGGGTAAAAGGAGGCGAGTGAAATGTGCAGAAAGAAGTGAGACCAACAGTAATATAGAAAAACAGATGGGGTAAGATGAATGGTATTTCTTGACAGGTTTGTATCATCAGCCTAGCTCAGTTTGCTTTCATTAAGGCTCTTGAGTTCACAAAATCCAAGTCATATTCAGCTAATGAGGTTTTGTCAAGTGGTCAGTCTCCAAATCTGAGGGGCAAACAGGAACAGTGACAAGTTAGGTCATTGGTGTCTGAGGTTAGAATGTAATCTAGCCACTTGTCGCCGTTGTGCAGTAATAACAGGGAGAGAAGTGGGAAAGAACTGGCACAGATGCTGAGCAGACACCACACTGGCCACCAGTGTGACTGTATGTTTATGTCTGTCTGCATCAATGTGTACGTTCACACAGGGAGCAATATTAGAGAAGAGATGGGAAGGAATGGATTAAGAAAGAGAAGGAGGGTGAGAATGGCCTCTGGCATTCCTGGAACCAGAGGAAAAGCAGAGCTTGTTTTCCCAGAAAATGGAGAATGTCTTTCCCATCAATAGACAGCTTAGGGTTGTCCAGATTTTCTTCATAAGAGGTGGGGCAGTGACTCAGACAATGTCTCTGTCACTGTCCATCCCTAAGGGACAGTAAAGGGAACTGTGAAATGCCCTAAAAATCTCTTCCCCTGCCCTAAAATGTCAACTATTTTTTTATTGTCGTCTCATTTCTGCCTTTTCCTTTCAGCTCAGCTTTATTGATGCATGTTTTTTGTCTGCGTGTTGCTGGCAGTTTGTATGTTTAGTGACATCTTGTAAATGTGTTTTTATTTGAGTGATGTTTGCTTGAGACTTGTCATGTCTACTGTTTTGTTCTTTCAGTATTCCTATGTGATCCTTTTTGCCTCCCACAGAAGTGAGACCTTAAGAAGACATTTAATTTTGAACAATAACTGTTCAGCTTCAACAGCTGTTCTGTTTTTGTTTTTTTAATTTGGGGGTAATTTTTGGAATACTATATGACTTAGACATTTACATGATTTTATTTTTTATTTTTTTCATTTTACTCTCTCCCACAGGCCTTGGAGAGTGCCCATGTTTTAAGTAAGGTACAGGACTTGGACTTGACAGAACTCTATAGGAGGCATATGGGACAACTGCTGGACTGGTTGTCTGTCTCCATCAACACCTGGACTAGTTATTCCCCACAGAGACTCCAACTACAAATCATAGTCATGCAATCAGGTGAGGCCTGAAGGTGCTGAAAGCTTGTGCACATAGGTAAATGGTAAAATGTGTAAATGTACTGGTACAAGAAGAAAAAGTGCATCAGTCAGTAAACTACGTACTGCAGTAAGTAGTAAAGCTTTGTAAAGCCATCTTTTTGTCATTTATTTAGTCGCAATCAGTAATGATTTCCTTCATAGAATTGTTTGTCTTGTTCACAAGTGTTTCACCAAAGGTTTTAATAGTCAGCATTTTTCGATGCCTTCACTGATGTACGAGCAGCTCATGATGTTTGCAGTAATCCATTCTCCATTGTTTTTACACTTAAAAATGTCCAGTTTTGATTCATTAGACCACGTGACAGCTCTGCCTTTCATATACGTTAGTTTTTTCTATAGAGTAAACAGGTTAATGTTTGTTGTTTTCAATAATTCAAAATCCTTGAAATCTACTTTTTGTTATTTTTTTATACAATGTCCGAGGTTTTTTTTTTTTTACTGTTTTAAGTTTTAAGGGGTTGTAACATCAGATGATTGTCCTTACATCCATGTTATTGCACTGTTGTTCCACAGAGATCTTTAGGATAAACCACAAATCAAGTGCTATCAACTTAATAAATATATTTGGCATGCGATCGTATCTTAGTTTATATGATGGGTATTATTTAATTGTATTGAAGCAATAATTGTGAATAATTTCAAAAACGTGTTTCTGTTAACAAGTTAAACCCTGACATTCTGAAAAAAATGGTACGTCTTTCTAACTCTTTGATTTTTGAATATTTCTGTCCCTTTCTTTGACGGTCAACCAGTTTATCCTAAACTTACTTTTGTGTGAGGGTCAAAAAGCTGTGACCTTTGCTTTAAATTCTAAGAATTTACCTTAATTCTTCCAWTACTGCAAAATCCTTTGTCATCACCACGTCATGCTTTCATCTCTGTCTCTTTCTCCCTCCGTCTCCACTCTGTCTAATTGACTAGGCACTGCTAATCCACACACAAACAGTCCCATGGCTAACTGACCGGTCCATTCTAAACCCAGGCAGGTCACTACATCAAAAAGCAGCAAAGCCGGTTGTTCTTGACCTTCTCCTAAATCAAGGCCTCTTTGAAGCTCTATGCATGCCTATACTGAGTGTGAGAAACAGTCTGTGTGTGTTTTATTTGCACATGCATCTCTAAAGCTTGTACTTTTTACAAACACTAAAATCATCTCCATCTAAAACAATAGACAGTAGTTAATACTGTATGTCAGCTGAGAATTGGGCACTTTGCTCACGCATCAGCTCTGCACACAATCAGTGTTAGTTTGAGGCAGGAAGTCATTGTTCTGTCATGTTCTRCTTACACTCTTTAGTATTTGATGCTCCAGTGTCTGAATAGATGTAGTGGGCCACAGTTAATCTCTAGCTATTTCTTTACAACTAAGAATATACTGTTTCCCTCAGCAGTAATAAAATATGCTTCTTAAATGTTACCCATCACATCAAAATGAGGATTAAGTCAAACTTGGTCAAAATTATCTAATCATATTTTCAGATTCCTGGTTTTAAAAGCTACATTTTGAAACTTAGATAATCCTGATATCATTAGTAGATCCAGAGATACTATTTAATTTGTCTTGTTGTTTACAATAATACATATACTGTATTTATTCATGTATAATACGATCTCGAGTATAATACGATCATCATTTTTTGATCTTAAAAAACATAAAAATCGAATTCTCAATAACCCGTGTATAATACTARCCCCCCACTTTATGGATGATTTTTAAGGTTAAATTTCCAGTATTATACATGAATAAATACAGTATATTTGGTCTAAATCCTAATTTTATGTAATTTTAATGAGGATTTTGTATGTAATTTGAAAAAAAGAAACCTTAAATAGTTTTTGAATATTGAGATTTCCCAGCTGGAAAGAGACAAAAGCTTTGATAGCTCACAGGGAAAATCTCAACATTTTAAGGTCTTTTTCCTCAAAATCAGGTTTTTTGTTGCTAATGCTCAAAAAAATGCTTCAAATTTTTTTGTATATTTCAGACAGATCATTGAAATGATACACTGATAACACATTTATTTGTTATGTTTTGACAAAATAAAATTTTTTGCAAGCATTTTAATCAAAACACTATATCTGCTTATTTCTCCACATACAACTTTTAGACTTAATCCTCATTTCGATGTGATGGGTCACAAATATGTTTTAGATTCCTAAATCTGACCGGTTTTATCTACTTTTGTCCCTCGTTGGATCTGCTCTTGTCTGTGGAAGATCCTCATGTTCGGTTTACTTTTCTGTTTTCTTGGGGGTATTTTTTTTTTTTTTACAAAACTGGCTCACATCCTCAGGTGTTGTCATAGTTTCCCTTGTTTTCTCTCATGTTTGTCACGATTCAGTCTAACAGGGCATGGTCTCTTATCACTGATTACGCACACACACGTAGCCTACTATATGTAGCTCAGTAAACACTGGTGTTGGATAAGTGTGTGGGCAAGAATGGAAATAGGAAAACTTACACTGTGAGTTTCTCCCTTGTTGTAAAAGGTATTTGTATAGAAACACTTTGTCATACAGTGTCTCATTTCCTCTGCCCTCTGTGTCACTGTCTCGCCAGTCCACCAAGATCCTAGTGATAATTTGTGGGCATGGAAAGTGAATATTTGCTTGGAAGGAAAACCAGAGGGTGTTTAAGTAGTTTGATTTTTGAAGCATAAGGTGGTGTAAACTTTTAACAATTAATTCAAGTTCAAGCACATTTGAATAGCATTTAAAAAATGGGTTACTTAGCAGATTTCCTTAGCAGTAATGCTGCAAAACCAAAAATAAAAACTTTGTAGTAACAGATATGCTTGTGTTTATCCTATAGGTCCGGTTATTGGGGAGTTTTTGAACCAGTTGATGCCTCTTCTCTACAGCTGCCTCGAACCAAACAGAGACACAGAAATGAGGATGAGCGTTTTCACCACGCTTGCCAAGCTGCTCTTGGATGCGAGCAACACACTGGATTCCCAGGGGTGAGGAAAACACTTTACGAACGCCTGTCTTTAAAAAKCAAAATGGTGATGATGCGCTGAAACACTTTCACCCCACCATCACTTTAGCTGTCACGCTGAGTAGCTCTGTTTGATTTTCAAGCTTACGTTTTTAGATTTTCATTTGTTCACCACATCGGTGCACAAACACAAAACAATCGTCCAGCTTATTCTCACATTATGTGTGGCAGAGACCCATTTCACCTGGGGCCTCATGTCTCAACGGTGCATACGCACAAAAACCTTGCTTACGCCATTATCCATGCAAAACTCCGGATGTATCAAAACTCAACTGAACGTGGAAATGTGCGCAGCCCCACGCCAACTCCAGTGCTGGCGTTCGCACGTTTCTGTGGTTTTGGTTCCATTGGTGATTCTGAGAAACTGTTCATGATGTGAAAATGATTTTTGTTCACACCAGACACACATGATTAACAATTATTACGTCCACATGGACGCAGTTAAATAAAAGACACGCAAAGTTGTGCCAAAAATACATTTAACAGGAACAGATTCAGCCTTACTGGAGGATAWAATAAATAGTGGAARACGCAGAGCTTTTATTTATAAATAGATAGAATTTTCTTATGACGAGAGGCTCATCAGCCGTTTTGAGGAATAATCATTTTTAGTTTGGCACTGCTGCGCTCTGGGAGCGCTATGCAGCAAGTAGCCACGTGCGCCATGCGTGCACGTGCAGCAGCAGCGATTGAACTGGGATTCCACAGGAGCTTTCCAGAGGGAGCTGGCAGACCCATCGGGACCGTATCAGTCCACCCAAAGCAGACCAACGGAATCGTCTCATCCATATGATTCTAAAGGCTGAGTTATGGTCGCGCTCTGGAGCGCGCGCACCCTCGCCGGCAGTGGAGGTGTTTCATACTTTTAGTTTACTTTGTTGTAGATTTCTCCAAAATGACACGTGGAAGTACACTTTACAACTTGTGAAAATGCTGTAAGTAGGAGAGCCAAAGCTTGACAGACAGACAGACTGCACACAAAGGCTGCGGCGCGCGCAGCGTTTGTGGAGACTCTCCAACATCACGTCACGTCATGTGTAGGGGTCACCTCGAGTGAAGAAACAGGAGTTCCAGCCTCAAAGCAGGTCTCGCACAGGCCTGAGAGCACACAAACTGGCAGGAACTGCTGAACTCTTATTTTAGGCCATGATGGGTCATTTCATGATTCAGAATGTTTACGCATTTGTTAATCATAATAACGACATGTCACAAAGAATGTAGAATCACTTCTATTATTTTATCGTGCCTAAAAGAGAGTAATGAATCACAGAAAATCATCACCATGTTTTTCATTTTCATTGTGTTTTTATAAATCACTGTTTTATTTTACTGAAACATCAGTAATATAATTTTGAGTTTTCTTYAGAAAATCTTACATTTATCTGACACAAGTTCAGACTGATTATTTAAACAGAGTGTTAATTAATCATGACAAAGGTTTACAGTGATTTCTTACAGTCTGGCAAAAGAAGCAGAGCYAATGYCCTTCACTTCCAGCTGGCAACCCCCTTATCTCTTCCTTTCTTTTGCTGACTAGAGTTTATCTAAGGCGCCGACCCTGACTAACCCGGACGCCTTAGAGACTCAGAAAGTTTTTCTTGCTGGATGCGAACGCAGCAGGACGAAGCTGTTTTCTCTCCGGAGGAACAGCCGGGCAGCAGGTTTGACTCAAATGCCAATTGGAGTCGACCTGAAGCCCAGGGCAAGGAGCCAGCAGCTCCTGCCCACCTAAGAGACCCTGGTCTCTTTAAAGTGTTTTTCAACTCCCTGGGGGGGAGACTTTTATTTTGGAAAGACYACCGAACCWRAGCTGGAATCTCTCTGGCCGGGCTTAAGCGGACTAAAAGTCACCTGAAAGACACCTTTCCACTAAGGACCATTTCTGGACAAGCTTCCTGAAGGGTCGTCGGTGAGACAGCCAGACCAGGGGTGTACTTAAGCAGACGCACCAGGTAACGCTGACGTGTTCGGTGGGTGACGTGTCAACTTGAAGCTGGGAGCTCAGGGAGGACGTGCTGAATCCGGTTGAAACACTTTCAAAATTAAAATAGAAACACTAACCCTTAATTTCCTCACCTTTACCTTTTACCCTTGCCAACTCAAGTGAAGTGCCAGTACAGCGTTTAGTCTTAACATCAGAACTGACGTTTTACTGTTTATATATAAGTAATCTGAGTTTTAATGTGGAAGAAATTCGGACGCGGGTTTTTATCTCATTTTAACCTAGACGCTTGTTATAAATAGCTCACAATCAGGTGTAATTTATGATTTCGTTCCATTTGTGTAAATAAATGATTGCATAATCTTTTATGAATCAACTTGAACAGTCTGAGTTCCCTCCTTGTGTCACTTCACTTTGCACAGACAAATATTAAGTAATGAGAAGAAACCTTGGTAAATTTTACTCTTATAACTTGGTTATGAGAAGATGTAGGTAAGTTATTTGAATAAATAACACACCSCTACACATGAAAACTCTACTGAGACGCAGAGACTCGTTTCTTAATATCAGCTATGAAATAAACTAAGATCTATGTTCTACCAAACATTTAAGTTCCTCTGTGTTTACAGTAATGGTGATAAACTCATGCGCAAAGTGATAAGCCGGTTGCGCAACACAGCAGTTTGCGCGTACGCACACACCGACACACAATCACTCGTTCTTTGTGTGATAAACATATTTTATTCCTATTTTTATTTAGGATTTTTTTCACACTCACTTTATATTAAATTCATTATTTTTATGACAGAAATTCTTTCTGATTGCGCAGAGATCACTCAAACGTGTCCTTCACACATGCAGGAAGTAATTTGCATCTGGTTAACATGTTAATGAAGGCGTGTCAGGGGAGGTGTCTCACCTGCGCTCAGTTCCACGTTAATTGTGATTTACAAAAGCAATGTGAGTGGATTCCAGCATACGCACAGTTTGATACATCTGGATTTTTTTGTGCGTACGCCGTTTTCAGGATTTGACCGTACGCCATGTTTCAGTAAGAAATCTACGCAAGTCTTTGTACATGAGGCCCCTGGTCTCTGAGGAAGGATCAGACAGGCCTACGCTAATTAATCACTTCCCAGCTTGCCTTAGGAAGACGACAGCCTTCTCAGCAGTAATTTGAATGGTTATTGACTGATTAAGGAGGCAGGAATGTCCGGCACCCAGCCCCTCACTCTCCTCTAAGCCCTCAGCTGTGCAGCCATCAGCTCCGAGCTCCACTCTGAGAAAATGCTTTAAACATGAGTCCGTCTCTGGGTTTCTGCAACCACAGCAGCTGCTCCTGTCCATCCGAACGACAAACTCCATCTGTGGAGTTATGACGATATCTGTACAGTGTGTGGTGAACCCTAAAGCTGATTCTAAGTCGTCAATATGTGTTGTTTCTTCGGTTTTCTGCACACTCCTAACGCAGCCACCTGTGGTGTTTACTGCTTGTTTCCTTCCTTAGTTAAAACCCTGGTGACACAATCATCAAGAAAATCAGTGATGCTGTGTGGTCTGCTATAATATTTCTATTCATTCTCAACTCTTTGTTCAGCAGATAGCAGGCCACACACATCCTTTTTCATCAAGAGGACAACGATAGTCCTACAGAAACCTGCTTCTCTTTGTTGTTTATCCAAAACGATAAAATGACACCTCACTATAAAACAACCTGAAAAGGAAAGTTACAAATAAGTCTTTTTCATCCGCACACATGCAAAATATGCTTTTTTTATGTGGATTTTTGTACTCTGATTAAAAAGCTGGATGTAAAAGTTAAGTACAAGAAAGTTGATATATTTTTCCCTGGATGTGGCAAGCCACAATCATGTGCCACTTAGAAGGAGATAAGAGTGTTCTTTCAAGGCTGTATGATCTGCAAACATGTCTGTAATTTCAAGCTTTAAGATTCACCACAAGAAAAACGTCTATTGAGTTCCTCTTATTTCGTAAATGGATTGCCCCGACATAAAACAAAACAAGACAAGGCAAAACAAAGCAGAAGCAAACACGTATTTATCTATAATTGTCCTGCAATCTCTAACATATCCCGGAAAATAGCTAAAACAAGAAAAAGACAACAAAAAAGTTTCTTTGCACCTAAATAACTTTGAAGAAATCTTTTATAATCACTTGAGATACACGAAAATACTATGTGAAATGCTTTATTGTATTTTTTTGTAATAAAATAGGCATCAAACTACAAATTGACCAGTAGAATACAGTACATTCATTGTTGCTAAATCAAGACCACCAAACTAATTTTACGTGACAGAATTTCTGGAAGCACAATTGCAGCAGTGATCAGGATGTATTTAATAAGCAAGACTACAAAAGTTTAGAGCTGAAGGGTTCTGACAGTGGAGCACAGAAGGTGTTGATGTGATGACTCCAATAAACTTTACCACAGATGCTTGTGATTTTACTAAAATGCTGTGCTTTTMCTTCAGTGACTTTAACAAAAATGTTTAATAAATAGCTGAAACAAAGGTAAACATTTAAATCTAGCTGCTTTGTCTTTTATGTAAAAGTTGACTTATTCATGCAGCTTTTAGGTACAGATTTACAGACAGCGTGCAGATACATGTGAGATGTTTAGTCAAAACTTCCTGGCACTTGTTTAGTTTGTGTGTGTGTGTGGGTGTGTGTGTAAAGAGACACATTGACAAAATGAAGTCTCACTCTTCTTCCACTGGACATCATCCCTGCAAAATGAAAAAGTCTCCTTTCATCCTTTGGAGTCACCCATGACACACTGTCTACACCTGTCATGCTGAATCACTTTGCTAAGTCAGTGTGTGATGATTCTGGTCTTGTTGCTGACTCGCCATCTCCCCCTACTGGCGCTGAAACCTCACAGCACACTAGAGAAAATCTAAAACATAAAATAAAAGTTCAGAGTTCAGTGAGTGAAAGGCAATGAGGAGCTGTTTGGGTGTGAAGGCGAATGCAGGTGCATGCAGTCTGATGTCAGAGGGCTTAAGCCAGTGTGGAAAAGGGAAAGGGAAAGAAAGGGATACCCAGATGTTTCAGCCTCCTGCCTTTTTTTTCTCACTTCCCTCACTGTTCTCTTACAAAGAGTGTGGGAAAGCAAACAGTTGTGCTACAGCAGTTGTCTTAAAACATCTTTCACTTTTTTTTAAAACAGTTTTACATGTTACTGTTAACATATAACAAAAAAGCCAGACTTATGATGCAGCTACGATGACTCATTTCTGTCCTTGATCGATTGTTTTGTCATTCCAGATGTTTCCGCGATGAGTCAGAGACYTTTCTTTGCAACATCCTGCTTCCTAACCTGGCGTGGCAAGCAGGCCGCACCGCAGCCGCTGTTCGCACTGCAGCTCTCAGCTGTCTGTTAGCCCTGCTGCACGGAGGAAGCATCACACCTGGACAGGTGCGTGCACAAAYAAACGTCACATTTGTAGGTCTTTCTTTCATTTCCACACTGGAAGCAAGCATCAGATGTCTGTCCTGTCCAGCTGAATGTCCTTTCGATCATCAATCTGCAGATGCACTTTTTACTGCCTCAGCTGTAAAGCAAATGATGTATTTTTGTGACCTTTTAAGGAYTTGACGTTTATTTCAGATTCTCTGTTTTGTCCATTTCTCGTCTAAATGAACAATCCCACTCAGCCATTTAATAAAAAAAAAACATTTGGCCACTGTTGTTTAGTGTTGGCTCTAAGAGTTGGCCACGTCAGGTAGCAGGTGGACGTGGGAGCAATCGGGTTCACATACCTCGTCCCAAAGGAACAATACTGCCACTGTTCTAGACCTTGGTTAAACATAGAAACTGTCACCGGAACATGGCCTTGCACCTGCAGAATTATGCGCTGAGACACAGTGTTTGCTCACAGGAACACATCTGGCAGTATTTGTCTTTGCACACGGACCAATCATAAGCGGACCGTGCAGCCTTTTTTTTAGTCACACGTCTTTTGGTGTGAGGCGGTGCAAACATCTGGGGAACAACGTGAGAGTGGGTGTAGGTGTGCATGATCAAACCTTTCCTATCTCATGAGCCCCAAATGTTTTTTTGTTTTTTTTTTACGAGATCAGACAACCTGAAAAGTGGTCATTAAAGAAGGCCACATGAGTTTAAATCTCGGGCCGTGGAATGAGCTTATAAACAAACATGTCCTGACAAATGTAACCACAGAGAGTTTCATTCACAAAGACATTGTTTCCTCTCCACTCCCTGCGAAAATAATTTACAGCTCCAGTTACACTTGGCGCTCTCGGATTGCCACTGATGTAATGGTGGATCAAACATCTGCCAAGTTTTCCCCCTCTCTTCATCTTCATCCCTCCTTCTCCCTCAGCTCTGTTTTTTATTGTTTGGCCTGCATGGTTTCGATAGCAAACACACACAAGGTGACAGAGGTTTAAACCATCACCTCTTGGCCTGTTGCTCAGTACACTCATCCTCACCTTGTTTGTCCATTACCTCTTCTTTACTAAGCAGTCGCTCCAGCAAGCTACATGTTTAAATTGTTTGCGTGGAAGAAAATATAAATCTTACTACGTAAAAAGGCATTTTTTGGAAAACGAAAGATGATTTGTTTCTGACTGAGTTTGGATTGAAACAAATAAGTCTGGCCTCTGCGTTTCCTGCTTTCAGCTTCTGAGTGTGGAGGAAAAGCTGAGCCCTCGGGTGTTGTCAGCCCTGGAGGAGGACTCTCAGATGAGCAGACTYTTAGCTTGTCGCTCACTCTCTGCCATGCTCAGGCTCATAGGAACCAGTTTGCACCATGAAGCTCTCAACAAGATTTATCCCGGTGAGTGATGAAGGAAGTCCCTTTGTGCTTGGCGCTGCATCGGGTGAGGTGTTGTCTTTTTTTATCTGGATAGAGGGGCAGAGGTTATCTCTCTTCTAATGAGCCTCCGCACTGAGTTCTACATACAGGCCACTTATCAGAAAACCTGTCTACTTTGTCCTCAGAGCTGCTGAAGCGTCTGGACGACAGCAGTGAAGAGGTGCGCGGGGTGGCCCTGCAGGCTGTGGGCCTGTGGCTGTCCAGCGTGACCAAAGACTACAACCCTGAGCTCCGTGCTCCTCATCTGCAGCTCCTCTTTCAGCAGCTCCTCCTGCATCTGGATGACCCTGACAGCTCAGTGCAGGACCAAGTGCTCGGTGAGATTTGGAGGCGGGGGGGAAGGGCTTCAAAGATGAGTGTAGAGTGATGATAGGTGAGGAGGACGGGCTCTTGTTCTTTATTGGGCTGTGCTGAAGGAGGGTTCAAATTTGTTTTAGAAAGCTGACCAGAAAAAAAATTTTTGTTTTGTTTTGGGTTTTTTGACAGAACTTCGCAATTCAAATCAGACAATTAATGTCTAACATTTGCCTGTTTAATCCTAAATGAAATGTTATCTTGAGCTTATGATTGTGATTTTATAATAGAAGCATTGAGGGGAACGTGAGCTGCGATGAGAGCAGAATTTCAGTGTAAAGCTCAGCAGATCAGCCTGTGGAGTTGTGCAAACCCACGCAGAGATGAGAGGAATTTGGGGTGTCCTCTGTCAAACCTTAGATTATTCCACAGGCATGCCGCCAACAGAATCTCCTCTCTCTTATTTCAAAAGCGCTCACTTGTTTCTTTTTTTCCACTCAATTTATCATCAGCGTTTCTGCTGCCAAAATATTTCACGTCCATGGAGGACTGAGCTTGTGGTGGGCTTCAGCAAGGAAATACAAGCCGGGGACATGAAAAAGCAACGGACAAGAGAGTAATTTTATAACAGACATGAGTCTTATTATCTGTACGTRTGCATTCTTCCTTTGTCTATAAACAGTTGAGGTAAAATGATGGAGCTGTGCGGGGCCATTTTCTGCCTCTGCACTCAGGATCTTTCTCTCTACAACCGTCCCATCTAATGACAACCACATGGGGACCCCATCCCCCCCCCCCTTCCACCTCTTCACATCTGTCTGCAGACTCATCCCACTTAATCCCTCTGTCTTTTATCTGCCAGTTTCTCTTCCTGCTCTCCTGCCCTCTGTTTTCTGCAATGATCCGTACCTTCACAGTTCGTCTTGGTTGCCTTTTTTTTTTCCCTCATAACTTTATAACTAAGGCGTCGTTCCTCTGGATTTTTGTTCTCTCCTACTTACCAGGAATGTTAGCTGTCATTACTTTTGACAGGACGCAGGTGAGCACTGATGGCTTAGCCAAGGCTGAGAGGCCTCACGATAAGATCTATCATCTTTGGTGCTCAAACAGATGAAGAGACAGAACAGATTCTCATGCACACCAGCTGGAACAGTAATCCATACCTCACATTTTTTACAATTATTTTTTTTAAAAATTGCAACCCCACCATTCATTTTTTAATCGTCTTTATGAATGCCCATGTTTTCCGTGTGTTTTGTCTCTTTCATTTAGCACAAACTAAAAGGTGATGTTCAAAAGATAATCTCTCTTTTTTTTGAGTCATCAGATTAAGGTTTAGCTCATCTCGCTGAGTGACAAATGTGGAAGCATTCCTTCATGTTTGAAGCTTTCCTTGCCTCCTCTTTGTTCTTCTTTGTCTCTTTTCATTTCTTCCTTTCATAGCCGGTCCCGTTCTTACGCTTCTTGTATTTCAAACACACGTATGTGAGGTGGCTTGTCGTCTGCAACATGTCCAGACAGAATGATGGACAGCGCTGCCACACCATCCCTCCTTGTCTCACTCTTGGCACAGGTTTAAATCACTTCTCACAAGCCATCATTGTTCTCTTTTAATTCAAAGTCTCAGTCTCACACCCCCCCTCTACTTTTTTCACAGCCCAGAAGCACTTAAACAAAAGCTGAAAATCCCCTCATTCTCCTTTAATAACAAAGCCAAGTATCATATAATGAGGTAAAATGGGTTCAGTTCTCCAGGGTGACAGCGTGTCACCACTGGAACAGCACGTTTGTATTGTTGTTTTTTTAGTTTTTACCCTGACAGCAGTGCTGGGAATTCAACCCACCGATAAAATCAGCAGTTAATGAAGGAGCAACAGGAGAAAGAGACGTAGACGGTTATTTATTGCATCAGTGGAAAGAAAAGAAATGTTTTTATTGTTGTCAAACATAGTTCTTTGCTGCCACCTTCTGGCCTGGTTTTCTCTCAAACATACGACTGTGGAATGTTGTGACCTTTTGTTTCTTTTATCAATTGTTTTTTTTTTTTTTTCAGTTCAAAAATTTATTCATTTCATTCAAAACAAAATAACTATATACAATATAAACTAAGAAAATGTGTGAATCAAAAAAATCAAAATAAAATGAAAGGTAGCAGGAGAAGAAATCTTAAAATGTCTGCCCCTTTTATCCCCAAAATACATTCAAAGAAAACATAATTTACAAAACAATACTAAATAAAAATAAAGATAAAAACATCAACTTAAACAACATTTCATATACAGTGGTTTGCAAAAGTATTCATACCCCTTGAACTTTTCCATATTTTGTCACATTACAACCACAAACATAAATAT